GTCCTGGAACTCACTATGTAGACCAGGCTGGCCTCGAACTCACAGAGATCCTCCTGCCTCTGCCTCCCGAGTGCTGGGATTAAAGGCGAGTGCCACCATGCCTGCCTGGCTTATTTATTATTTTTATGTGTATGTGTGTATTGCCTGCATGTAGGTAAGTGTACCCGTGTTGTGCAATGCCCAAGGAGGACAACAGCCAAGAGGCTGTTGGATCCCCTGGAACTGGAGTTACAGACAGTTGTTAGCTTCCATGTGGGTGCTGGGATTTGAATTTGGGTCTTCTGCAAGAACAGCCAGTGTTCTTAACTGCTGAGCCATCTCTCCAGCCCATCCTTTTTCAAAAAGACATTGTCTCAGTATGAAGCCTTGGCTGGCTGGAACTTGATATGTAGAACAGGCTGGCCTGGAACTCACGGAGGCTTTCCTCTGCTTCCCAAGTGTTGGGATTAAAGGCATGTGCTACCATACCCAGCTGTCTTTGGCTTTTGAACTTGCTAGAGGTGGAGACTAGATGTAGAAGATATCCTGAGCAATGGGAGATTCTTAGATAACGAGATTTATCTCACTAAGAATGATTATTATCTTCTTGAGTATGTATTCATTTCTCATTCCACTTTGGTTAAAACTAGATCACATCAAACAAGTGTTATGATGCTTTTTTAGTCTTTGGCCATGATAGACAAATATGAGGGAGCAGATAATGACTATTATCAGCTTGATTAAATGAGCAGGAGTGGAATTCCAGGTTAGATAAAGAAAGGTCTGATTATAGTTGATGAGTGTTACTTAAATGTGTAGAGTGCATACATTTGGTACCTTGAAAGCAAAAGGGAACTTGTCACCTTGGTGACTTTCTCATCTGTAAAATAGCAGTAATATAGCCAGCCGTGGTGGTGTACACCTTTAATCCCAGCACTCAGGAGGCAGAGGCAGGTGGATCTCTGTGAGTTCAAGGCCAGCCTGGTCTACATAGTTCCAGGCCAGCTGGGGCTACTGGGAGACCCTGTCTCAAGAAAAACAAAAACAAAAACAAAAAAAAGGTTAGTAATATATGTTCCACAGTGCTGTTTTAGGATAGAGGTAACATGTTCAAAGTGTATCTCACTTTGGTAGATACTCCATTTAATTTTTAAAATTAAAGTGTGTGTGTACACGTGTGGAAGAGGGCATTGGATCCCCTGGCTAGTGTCACAGGCAGTTGTGAGTTGCCTGATGTGGGTGCTGGGAACCAAACTCAGGTCCTCTGAAGAGGAGCACAGTGCTCTTAACCACTGAGCCATCTCTTCATCCTCCACTGAAGATTTTCTTAGGTAGGGCAGATACTGGTCATAACAATTCTTTTTTAAAAATATTTTATTTACTGTTTTCATTTTATGTGTATGAGTGTATTGCCTGCCTGTAGGTAAGTACACCCATGTCCTGCAGTGCCCAAGAGGACAGAAGAGGCCATCGGATCCCCTGGAACCAGAGTTGTGGACAGTTGTTAGCTGTCATGTGGGTGCTGGGATTCGAACCCAGGTCTTCTGCAAGAACAACTAGTGTTCTTAACTGCTGAGCCATCTCTCCAGCCCCAGCAATTCTTTTAATGGTTTTGATTGTTTTGTGTGTATGAGTGTTCTGCCTACATGTATGTATGTGCACCAACCACATGTGTGTAATACCTGTGGAGGCCAGAAGAGGGCATCAGATAGCCTGGAACCAGAGTTATGAATGACTGTTAGCCACCATTTCGGTGCTGGGAACCAAACTTGGGTGCTTTGCAAGAGCAGCCAGTGCTTTTGACTTCTGAGCCATCTTTTCAGTACCACCCCTCCTTTAAAAAAAAAAAGATAGAACCTTTTGCAGCCTGGGCCTGCCTTGAACTTTCTAAGTAGCCAAAGATAACCTTGAGCTTTTGGGTCTTCTGCTGGGATAATAGGCATTTACCACTATTCCTGGTTCATGGGGTGCTGAGGATGGAACCCAGGACATAGTGCACACTGGGCAAATACTACCAACTGAGCTACAACCCACAATTCATTCTTTAAAAAAATTTTTGAGGAACTCTCAGGTAGCTCAAGCTGGGCTTGCTTTGTAGGCAAGGATGGGCTTGAACTCCTGATTTTTCTACCTCTACCTCTTAAGTGCTAGTATTATACACAAGTGTACTACCGCTCCTATTTTAACAATTCTTTTTTATAACCATTTAAAATACTTATTTTTATTTTGTGTGTATGATTGTATTGCCTGCATGTAGGTAGGTGTGCCCATGTTGCAATGCCTGTGGAGGTCAAAGGTCTTGGGTCCCCTGGAACTGGAGTTAAGGATGGTTGGTAGCTACCGTATGGGTGCTGGGAATCGAACCTGGGTTCTCTGGAAGAACAGCAAGTGCTCTTAACTGCTGAGCCATCTCTTGAGCCCTTCTGTCTTATTTCTTTGAGATAGTGTCTCTCACTGAACCTAGAGCTAGGCTGCTAACCAGCAAACCTTAGTGATCCTGTCTCTGCCCTCTGTCCCACAGGGCTAGAGTTATTAAAGGCATGCAAATCACCATATCCAGCTTTTTATAGGACTTCTGGGACCCGAATTTCAGGTACTCATACTTGAGCAGCAAGAGATCTTATCTGCTGAGCTGTCTCTCCAGCCCCTCACAACAGTTTTGTGTGATAGAGATAGTTAACCCCATTTTATAGTTAAGAAACTGAGACTCAGAGACTATATAATTGGCCAAGGCCACATAGTAGTACAAATGTTTAAGGCAGTAGTTGGAAGTTAGGTAGGTTGATTGAAGAACCCATCTTCTTAACCACGATCCTGCTATTCTCGATTATTAAAACTTTAGGAAGATTTGTTTTTCAGCAGTCAGCAGTCTACAGGAAGGTATATATATATATATAT